CTCTCTCTCTCTCTCTCTCTCTCTCTCTCTCTCTCTCTCTCATCTTTTATTTTCTTTCTTTCTTCCGATCTGTTGATAACTCGACGCTATTTGTCATCTCCGGTCGGTACAACGGCTATTCATTAAAGTCAATATCTATCCATCAAGGGTTGCCTTACTTTCGCCCTTCCGGTCGTGTGTCATCTATCAACGTGAAGATACAACTGAAGAAATATTTCGGAAATATAATCTGTCGCTGTGCGGCTCCATAAATCACCCGCCACCATCTCGACAGGGTGACGATCGCGCCCCGACGACGACGACGAAGACGTCGTTGTCGTCGTTTTGATATTACCGTGACCGCGGGAATCCAAATTATTTCCCGACGACGGTCCACGATTCACTACAGAGAGAAAGAGAGGTGAAAGAGTGAGAGAAAAAGAGAGGAAGGTAGCCGACGGTTTCGAATAGAATTTCATTTATCCCCGATCGATCGACGTTGTTCTTCCCGCGCTTCGCCGTTCCCGCGGACGCGATTTTTCATGGTTTCGCGATCCGCGGGAGTAACGGACGCCCGATTGTTTCCCGCTTCGTTTCTAAAACATAAATCGGCCGATGCTCCGCGATCTCATCGAAATTCACCGAGCCAAGCTCGCTCGGCGAATGCGAGCTGCATTGTCGGCCAAGAAGGAAGCCCGGTGGTGATGGTGCTTGTGCATCGTCAGCTTCCGGAAGCTCGCGCTTTCCTCACGGCCGTCTTTCCACGTCGATCATACGACCGTTGCCCCCGCACCGGAAGGATCAACTTCCACGTCGTCAGCTTCCCGATTGCGTCGGTGAGAATTTGCCCCGGAAACCTCCCTCGGGCCGACCGAAAAACGACCAGCGGCAGATCATCTCGCGGACGTTTCGTCGACGAACGTCGACATCCTCTCCGTCGAGTTCCCGTTTCCTCCACCCTCTCGTTCTCGTTTCCTCCATTTCATCGGGTCCTCGATTTTCACTCGGCTGAACGTGACCGACGCAGGGTCGCGCGACTTCCGCTTTTCAAGGCTACCAGAGAGTCCCGAATCGCTCAATTCGCGTGACTCCTCAGCGTGCGAAGATCACTTCTCCATTTATGCCATTCGCCGAGTGTCGCCTCGAACGGCCCAAATTGTGATGATGATGGTCCATTGCGAGCGGATTACAGTCGACAAAATTGATCGACGTAAGCGAGAAAAAGATGCAGAGAAAGACGAAAGAAGAAAGAAAGGGAAAGAAAGAGAGAAAGTGTGTGTACTCTCTCGTGGGATGAGCTTCGTTTACTGAAGTTGTAGTTGTCGTTTCATTCGCCTTGGGCCACTTACGAATGTCAACCGCAGGCGGGGCAGAAGGCGACACTTCTCTATTTTCAGTTTTGCGAAGTCTACTGCTGCACTCTTTCAATCTCTCTCTCTCTCTCTCTCTCTTTCTCTCTCTCTCTCTCTCTCTATCTCTATCTCTTTCTGTTGCTCGAGCCTCCTCCTGTTTTCCGCGCCCGTATTTACTTCTCGGCCGCAATTTCCCAAAGTCAATCTTTGGTAGGAAGAGCAAAATTTCCTGCTCACGCCGCCCCGCCGTTTTCTCACATCGGACACACGTCGCCCGCCCCTGCCCCCCTGGAGCGGGCGGATATGTTTGTCGGGGGATCGTGCTTGTTTTTGCGTCGTCCATGCGATAGACGCGTCGCTGGGAATCTGTCATTGCAGCCGCGATATGTCAAGTACGACCGTTTATCCTTTTCTTTCTCGTAGCCACCGCTATATAGTATGTGTGTGTATGTGTGTCACGTCCCGACGTGCGAAATCTTCGTGACAGATTCCTCGACAAATTTCGATTCGATTTTTCCATGGTAAGAAGTCGATGAAAAGTGAAGCAGAAAGAGAAATTCAACGAGACTCTTAATTGCTCTGTTGAGAAAAATAAGTAAGCAAGAATATAACCGAATTTTTAAATAATTATGATCGTGAATTTTATATTGTAAGAATACTCTATTGTAGGCATTCAAAGATTTTTTGGACACGAGGAATAACATATCCAATCTGCTTGATTAAAAAGTAATGATAATAAGCAGCGACACCTCGCCAAGGAAAAATCGATTTCGCATTCGTCGGCGAGGTCAGTTGTGGAAGTTTCAGCACGACGAGAACTGCGATGCCCCCACACTGAAAGAGAAAGAATATCTAAGAAATAAAAAATATTTCTTCGTTGGATGCTAATAACATAGTTGCTTAAAATCTTTCATTTGGATAGAACAAATAATTGTTTCCACGAAAAACTAAGGTTTCCCTTATCTTACGTCACACTGAAAAAATTATTTTATTTAAAATATTTGGTACGTACGATTTGGTTGGCATTACATATTTCTTATTTGTGTCAGGTAAATGTATCACTAACAAAAGCAAAACACACACGTAATGGCAATTTTTTGGTTGCAATCTCCAGAGATATTCGGTTTTGATCCTACTTTGACCAAATTATATATACCCTTTCAGAATTTCAGAGCTATAACTTCTCAGACAACTAATTGTTGTGGCTGACTATGCAAATAGCCTTTATCTATGCGTTAATGCCCGCTAGGAGTCTGTTAACCATATATTTTGCTTTGTAATAACCAAAATACAAACATGCAGCAACGTAACCGTCTTGCCCTGGTAAACAGATTCAGTTGCCCAGTAATGTAGAGTAAGAAAGCCACACTATAAAATATGTATCCTGGGTTAGTAGTTCCGGGGTCTCCACAAGAGCACTCCTGCCAGCTCTTAATTATGGGCCAACTCGTGCGCCCATATGCTCGATTTCAATCATTTACTAGCCAAAGTTACGATACAGTGTAAACCGAATTTTCGTCTCGACAACAAAACCCTTTTTTCAGGGTAGTGTACAGATAAACGTACTACTAGTATCCAGCAGACAAGTAGAGTTTCTTAGATATTTTTTCTGTCAATGCACGAGACAAAAAAGGAGAAAATTCCGCACAACGAATTTAGCGAGCGCGCTGACTCGTTAGAGGAAGCAAAGCCTCCTCCGGGCTCTAGAAATTCTTCGCCCTGTGAGTTCGGTTACCCGACGGCTAATTGAAACGAACGCTCGTCAAGTGGCGCGCGCTACAGAGAACGTAGCGCGACCTGAAATTTATTAACGGGGATCGGCTCTCTCAAACGCGAACCTCGTCTCGTCGGCTGTCGACGTGCGCCGCAGTTCCTCGAGGAGCAGCAACGACCGGCGGCCTGTGATACACGCGGCCACCGATAATACAAGCTACGTGGTCCCCAAGGTAGGCGACGTGTATAATTATAGCATGTGCGCGCGTACGCGTGTGTGTTACAGCCGCGGCCCTACGAGGAGTCGCCATTCAACGTAGAGTCGGAGCAACGAGGGCAGCCTTCCCTGGAACGGGTGCAGCCGCATTAGCTCTGGCCAGGAACCCGGGGCCGCTGGCAGCTGCAGCTGCAGCCACTGCCCTGCACCCCTTCGCACCCGCGTAAGTATCGGCCCGGCTGAGCCCGGTCCCGGGGTCAATTTTAACCCGGAACGACGTCCAAGGTACTCCGCACTGCGCGCGAATTACGGCGGACGCTCGTCGCGTCCGCCACCTCCTCGGGCGGATATTGAGCCACTTTGAATCTCGCGCTTTTGACTCTCATCGCCGCGTCTCGTCTCGTCCGTCGCTCTGCTCTGCTCTCTAAGCTTCTTGGAGCGAAATTTCACTCGGAAAGTGGAGTGTGATTGGCGAGTCGCTCGAATTCGAGTGATCTTTCATTCGGATAGAGCGTGAACTCTCCACTCTGAATCGTCGAGTGAATATTTTCACGTGAAATTGAAGAGCGAATTTGATAGTATAGTCGATTGCACATCGGTTTGCACATCTTTTTATCGAATGAAGACGCGAGGCTCCAAGTTGTCGGAAGCCACTACTGACGCGCAGTAATTGGTTATAAATATATAAAAATTACTTCTCAAAATGTTTTTTTTTTTTTTTTTTTGGAAAGATGCTAGATACATAATGCAGCTCGTTTGCGCTGTTTTTCTATTCGGTTAGAATTGCAAGTGCTTTTGTGCATTGACCAAGAATTGCAACTATATTCCATTGTCGCAGGAATATGTTCACTCTAATCGACTGAAGCATTCGCTCATACGGAATCAGAATCCACTCTGAGCCTGAGTGAAACATTCGCTCTTGTGATATTTTCACCGCATTGCTTCGAGTGAAAATTCAATTCGAGCCGCTTTTCACTCGTTCTGATCCCTCTCCAAGAAACATAGAGAGCAGATCGCGACAATTTTCGACTTCTTTCACTCTGTTGGCATGTGCCGAAAGCGTCGGATGTCGCGTGTTTTCAGATAATTTTTGCCGTCGACAGAGTACCCGGGCAACTCCAATGCGTGTCGAGCTCGATTACGTTTTATTAATATTATATCTCGCGGGGACAGTTGAGACTCGAATTAAATGAAATCGTATGCATGTACGTTCGGCGGTATCTTGAATTTCGATTAAATTGCAAACTACCTCATTCACCGATATGCGATAATCGCGATTTAATTATTGTAATTATCAGAAATCGCCGAAAATACACATCCCATGCCCGCGATAATTGCAGCCGCGCGTGTACTCGATTCGCCAGTCAATCTCGCGTGTGGAAGAACATTTTCGTCGCGTCACGAGTATAATCCGTAACAGTCCGACCCTTACGAATAAATAAACGACGAGTCGCGTCGAATAAATAATCGCGCGGACGCAGTGCAGAATACCTTCGCAGGCTCAAGCTCGGGTAAATCACTTTATTATGTAATTCTGTGAACGTGTAAATAATTTCACCTTGCAATAATCTACCGCCTGATGCTTGTTGTCTTGTGTTCGTGCGTTGTATGGATGTGCGTGTACACCTTTGTCTATTTTGTCTGTCGTGTGTGTGTGTGTCTGTGTGTGTGTGTGTGCGTGTGTGTGTGCGCGCGTGTGTATGTTCCTCCCTCTTCTTTCATCTTCGAAAAATTACGCTTGCAGCGAGTAACTGAGGAGCGCGCGTCTCGGCAATCTGCGTTCTCTCCCGCAGACGCGACGTTAAACTCCCACGGGAGTGGTGACGATGGTGGTTCGTTGGTGGACGACGTAGGCAACGTGTATATTATAACGACGATAATTAATTTACACGGGTCGCTGGAGGAAAGGGGCTGAGGAGAAGGAGAGTAGACAAGGGAGGCCACGTGACCGCGTGCGTCGTTGAAGTTTCGAGAGACTTTTTCTTCGCGGCAAAACCTTTTTCTCCCCTCTTAACGATCGGTGGTTATGTCATTAGCGCGAGATTTACATGCCACCGCTTTTTTCCGCGCCCTCGGCGACGATTAAGTTTCGTCGTTTAACGAGCGCGGATTAAAGTGTGTCGTGTCGTCGTTTCCGAGTTCGTTCGTTCATTCGTTCGTTCGTTCGTTCAGTCGGCGGTAATTAAGCCTGCGGATCGCGCTGGGATTTTCTTGCGATCGTCATTGGCCTCTGATTCGCAAGCGAGTATTCGAATTACCCACCGGTAACCCGCGTGTTTAACCTTCGCTACGCCACATGGAGTCAGATTAGCTCCCACACATTTTCCAACTTTAATTTCACCTTAAACGATATTCTTCGATAACAAATTATGTTAACTTGCGTAACATTTTTGTTTCCGCGATTATATTATTGTATACAAGAGTGAACATAATGTATGACATCTAATGCTTTACATATTAGAACTTTCCAAAATTTTGACTAAGATCATAAAGAAAAATTGTTCCATCTGCCACAGAAAAACTGTTTTGCCAAGATCGCTTCCCTAAAGTCTTATTTACATAAACAAGCAGACAGAACTGTCTCCGTATTGTGGAAATCTGCCATTTTAATTTATTGAGACTCCACCTGGCGTAGAAATGGTTTAATATTAAATTTAAAAGCAAAAAAGAAAGAAAGAAAAAAACATAAGAAAGCTCGACGATATGCGAGATCGAGCCGTATCGCGGCGGTTCTTACGAACAAAATTCCCAGCGGGAAAAAACCGGCGGCGGCGGCGGGGCTGCATTGACCGGACGCGAGCACTCGAGTTAATCAACCCCCGGCGCGTAAACAACCGTGACGGCCTGCGCCGGCTCGCGATATAGGCCATTGAAACTGTAATACAAATGAGTGCGGGCAATGTCAATCGAGGATTGCATTCCCATTCACGTGTCAGTTCGTCGTCCATCGCGCGCTCGTCGAAGAGCACCACCATCGCGCGCGCAAACCCCAATACCGTATCGGGGCCGATATATCGTGTGGCGCACGCCGAAACGCCCAAATTACTCGCTGCAACGCGTTGCACGCGCCGCTCGGCATTTAAGGCTTTGCCTGTCAGTCTCACTGCATCTGCACGACGTCCAGTGAACCCCTCGTTTCCTTCCCCTCCTCATCTCACCCTTCTTTCCTCTCCCCCCCCCCTCGCTCCCATCGACGTCCCTGCGCGCGCCAGCCCTCCGCAGCTCGATCTGACTGCGCTTGCACACAATGCGGATTATAATTTGCGAGAGAGCCCCGCGGCGCGCGCGCGCGCCTGCTCGTCCACTTCCCCGCCGCGGGGAAAACTTAGGACGAGACGAGCGGAAAAACGAGGGACGCTCGATTACTCCCCTGCCCTGCCCGCCTCCCTCGCCCCCAGTTCCCTAGAAGTCGGAAGAAGAGAACAAAACCGGGGGAAACCGCTCGACTCGGGAAATAACCGACTGCACTTTGACTGATTAGAGATTCGGGCGTGATTGGACGGCGGCGGGCCGCGGATTATCGCGCCGCGATAACGCGATTGTCTCTTTTTCTTTTTTTCGCTCTTCTTCTCTCCTCTTCCCTCCTTCCTCAGTTCGTTTCCCTCCCGTCGGGTGCAAAAATCGCCGCGGGATCTGTATTCCTATCATTTTCCGCCTCTCTACTGCTCTTTTCCTCTCCTCGCCCCGTATTTTTTTTAATTTTTTCGCTATCGCGAATTTTTAGAAGCGCACGCGTTCGCGTCGAACCGCATCAATCGTTCGTTTTAACGTTTCGGAATCGAGGAGACGCGACGTCGGCGGGGAATGAAAAATTTGAATACGAACGAAAATCAATTTTCGAGGCCTGTTACATCGATGCAGGCGCGCGCGAAATCGGATTTGTCAGATCCAATATCTGCATACGTTTTATGTGTCGCGTTATGCATTTTAATTCGACGCTCGCGTGTGCGTCATTCCGTTTGTAAGTGTAAACTATTTACGCCGTCCGACGACTACGCGAAAGTAGAAGCGTCGTTTTATTCTCGATTTACGCGCGCACGTGTTATTATTGCTGTTGTTGTTATAATTTCGATTAATCAATACACGATACCTCGACGGTTAAACTTTATCCATTCCTGCGGACGTGTAATTAAAATGGACGCGCGTGAATTCTCGCGGAGCGAGCGAGCGAGCGAGTTTTTCGTCCGGTCTTTCTTCTACAACAAAATTATTACTTGCCCAAGTTAAATAGACTTTCAACAACGATCTTCAACGAGCAAAGTAATAAATGGGAGCAGGCTACTCATAAAACTAATTCCATTGCGAATACTCCTCCGAGCAGATGCAATATAAAGCAATCAACTTTTTGCCCTTCACCTCTCTCTCCCCCCTTCTATCCCCTCTCCTCCTCCTCCGTCCACCGTCCACGCCGAACATAATTCATGGTCTTCGCGCATAAAACAAACTTCGTTCGCGCGTTATATATGTGTGTGTGGGTATATATATATATATATATATATATATATATATATATATATATATATATATATATATATAGATACATAGCTGCGAAGAGAGTAAAGTTTATCACGTTATCCGGCAGAGTGCGCGCGATTGTTGCGCTGCCGGAAGCAGCGAATTTTCAATTTCATCTCGAACGCGATATTTAATACGCGACGTCCGTCGGGTACGAGCGAACGTTACGCTGTGCATTATTGAGTCGAAAAAATGAAAAGTCCAGTCCGAACGCGACAAATAACAGCATTCTCGTTCGAGCAAATCGTGGTCAGTGTAAATGTCTTTCACATCGAATAATACAATCGTTGAATTTACGAGACTCGTTATTTTGAAAAATGCAAGATGTGAAAATGAGAGACGCGTCGGGTATTTTTTTTTTATTCTTTTTCTTCTTTCCCACTGGACACAATCGCGAAAAAAATTCGAAATTCGATGACGCCGGTCCGCAGGCAAGCTTGCGCAAACGACGGACACGTTGTCCGTACTCACTTGTGATTTTTCTTTTGCAGTGTCTACTATGATCCCTTCCTCGCAGCGCACGCAGCTACGCAGGACTCCAACTACAGGTTACAGGTGAGATATCTGTCGATTTTTTGCACAATCCGCGAATATTGTTCCGCGCATCCGGTGCACGACGGCGGAGCCACGGCGCTATCGTCGAGAGTCGTGCGTTTCTCGACTGAGAATAAGCGGAGAATACGAGTTTTTAATTCGAAATCGAGGAATACGTGCAGCAGGACGCGTGGAAACGCCCGGCCGACCGAGACGCGAAAATCGATCGTCGCGCGATTGATAATCGACCGTTAATCGGAAAATAAAGCGTCACGGACGCTGACGTGTTTTCATTATGTTGCTCTGCACAGACAGCCATCGCCGGCCGGAGCTAATTAATCGAACTGTCGCGATAGAGCCGATACGTGCGCGAGCTCTCGGGTGTTGCGCGATTCGGTGACATTTCCGTGTCGGTAGATCTCTTTGATTCATCCACGAATGCTCCTTCCTTTGTTGATTCGAAATGGGACTTTCTAGAGCTCTTCAGGTGAGAGCTAGAACATCGGCCACCATTTGTAGGGAAGTAGTGAGTGAGTGAGTGCTTGCCTCTCACTCCCACGTCTCACGTCATCCCTGAAATGGCGGCCGGATTACGAACCAATCAGGAATCATCGCGCTTCGTGCTAACTCTAACCAAAGGAACTTTAGGACTTCCTGCTCCTAATATCAACTGCATTGAGAGAGAAAGAATCCAAGAAGTAAAAAAGATGATAATTCGGTGAATACTAATACGTATTTTACTTACACTAATATAAAATATTTTTCAAACGAGAATACAATTTTTTAAGTTGCGTTCCAAAAAGCGTCCTTTTTGAGGAAAAATTTCACTGAAAATTCGTAGTATATGTAACGTAAACTACAGATTTTCTGAATTTTTCGGAATTTTCTTAAAAATTTGCATTTTGGAATGCGACCTTAAAACCTTTTTCATGAAAGCAATTTTTCGTTCTATTTAAATTTAAATTTAAGTAACTTTTGTCATTATAGTATTGTCACCCCGAATAAATACATACAAATGTTAGATATGTTTATCTCACTGGAGATTTTTAACTTCCATTAAAATCATTTTGATGTCAATTATAAAACGATTATTCATTCAAAGTTCGCGAATTTGAATATTTGCCCTGGAAATTTAATTGTAATGGCAGATCTTTTAACAGATATCAGACAAAAAATCTCTGTCATTAAAATTATATTCAAAGATGACGAAAGAGATTCTTCTCTCTTTCTATCTCTCTCTGCGCACGTTAGGAAAATCTGAGAGGATTCGTGATAATGAATTTTTTCACCAGACCGAAATATGCAAAAGTTCTCGATTGGGATTCTCTCGGCTCGTTCGCACGTGCACCGGAAACGGAATACGGCGCAGTATGTTTGTAAGACGATATATACGAGTGTGAGCGCAGAGATTTTGACTAAAGTCCGTAACTTTTGGTGGACCCGTTTAGCTGGAATGGCCTCAAGCAACAGCTGACGTTAGTTGACACATTTTTCCAGGCTTGCACACACATACATGGACTTACTTACACACACACACACACACACACACACACACACACACACCCATACGAAAGAGAGAACGCCGGGAGAAACCGATAACAATTACGCCATTCCCTATCTCGTTCTACATTGTTCCGATCGTTCGCCGTTCTCATTGTATCTCATTTCTCGCCTGCCTCTCCCTTTTTTTCTCTATCTTTCACTCTTCTCTCTCGCTCTTTCTCTCTTCTCTTGTTCATTCACTCTGTCGTTTCATTCGCACAAAAATCCCGATGCATCCCGACGTCACGGCTGATAGAAAAGGGAGTACACGCGCGACGGACTCTCTGCCAGTCGTCGAGATGATTATTCCCTGCCTCGATCATGCGTCTCCCCGGCACCAATTCGCGCGTGAATAGATTTTACATTCGTGCCCGTTCCAACGGTCTCCTTCGAAACCAATTTCTCATCGAAAAGCGAGCGTCGAGTTTCAAATGACTACAGAGTCGCGCCGTGTATACACCATTGTTGACTACCACGAACAGTGCTTCGAATTCTCTCAGCCCCGATCAACGCGTTCAACGAAAGAAGTCATCCCGCAGTCGACGTGAGAGAGAATCGTCTCGGGAGAAGATTCTGTTCGAGTTACATTTGAAATTATACAGACCCGCGCGTTCAACGTCAATCAACGGAACTTCGCGAACGGAATCTCGAAAAGTAAAAAGAAACAATGTGGATTTTTGGAGTCATCCCTTTCAGTTGAGCGATTCGTGTGTCGCGTCGTCGCGTATAACGAACGGTCTTGTTAACACGTAATTTTCTGACACGGAGAAAACTGTTACGATCGATGCAATCCTTTATGTTTAGAAAAAGACTTACATGAAAGTAAGTATTCAAGTTGAATAAATATCGCACAAAAAATTGTCATTGTTGTGCGCCCATCTATACAGATTTCATAGCCACAATTCTTATGATTACGCAAGGTAAAAGTGTCAAATCTCGGACACGTGTCCAATCCTGGACATTCTTATTGTATTTGGTCTTTAAATACGAACATACCTAAATTCTCAATGTAGAATATGTGTGTGTGTGTATTTACTAGCTTAAATTACTCAACATTGTCCGGGTTATCAGTGTTAAGAGAATGAAATCCGGAGCTGGCCTGTAGATTTCGTAGTAACCTACATTTTTCGCAAAATCATAGAGAGTAACTATACAACATTTGGTCCAGACCGATCAAAGGATTTAGAAGTTTATAGGGAACATACAAATAAACAATTTCCATTTTTTATATTTTTTATATATTAAAATTTTAAATATTCGTATTTATAAAGACCAAAATAATAAAAATGTCCAGAATTAGGCACATTGCTACTTTTACCTCAATGTTTAATTAGTATATCCTCATATATCGTCGTCTCTTAAACGAAAGAATGTTGAATATCTTTGTTGTTATCTACGGAACAAAATATTATGGTTGAGAGATCCGTAGAATTTGTCTGTGCCGTACAACACTGAGAATTCGACTCAAACGCGTATGGATAGGCAACAAAGAGGGCCAGTGTACCACTTTCAGAATACTATGGCTTCGACAATCCTCTTGTATGCATGGGCAAAAAGTAACTTTGACATTTTGTCGCGGAAATCATATTTAGTCGAGTGATAATCCCAATGTTTTCTCCGTGAGAGGGGAATTTCAGAACGGAACTCGCGTTTCATCTCTTCATTAATTGGTGCAGAAAAAAAGATCATATCAATCGCGTGGCATCTTGTTGCATCTTGTGCTGCCTGAGCGCATCTCATCATCGCGCACCACTTCATTCCCGTCCTCCCTTCGTCCCGCTTTCGTTGCACCACTACATTTTCCTCTCTCCCTGTCTCATGACCACTCAAAGAAACGATTCGACAGGCGACCCGACGACCGTAATAATCCCGAGGACGAAGGCGAAGTAGCGCTATTGCGGGCTGAATAATGCGTTAATACGCGTGACGATATCGCGCGAGAGAACGGATTTTCGCGTGCTCTCACGCCCGGAAGTGTCGGGAAACGGAGTTAGCTCGCTTTTAACGAGGACTCGAAGTCCCTCCCGCGTAGAACTCGAGATCGAGTTTCCTCCGCCGGGATCCTACCGGAATTTCTTTTCAGGTTTGCCGTTTGTGTTTCAGGCTAAAGCGCCCGCCCTGGAGGTAGGAATTAAGGGTCCGCCCGTTCTTCTCGTATCCGTCTGTTTCATATATATATATACATATATATTATATATATTTATACATATATTTCTCTCTCTTCTTTCTTCTTATTATCGTTCATTTTGTCTGTTCTCGTTATATATATATATATATCTCTCTCTCTCTCTCACACACACTCTTTCTCACTCTTTCTCTCTATTCTTTTCACGTTTCCGTTCGTTCGCAATATTGAAGTGCCTCGCTGATCTCTCGGCGAGACTGTTTAGTTACATGTGTTCACAACCCTCTCTCGCTAACGATCCGTCCCATCCAGCTCCATGAAAGTCTCAAACTGCAGCTTTGCCTCGAAGGAAAGGGTTCGTTTCAGTAGGGAAGCTGTAGAAGAGAATTTCAGCCGGTCGCGAAGGAGAGCCGTCCAGCTTCCCCTGCGACCGTGTCGCGCATTTTCTTTTCTTCCTCCCCTGTTCTCGATGGGTATTAGCGTGAGACAGCATGCGTTGTCGTTTATTTCCTCCTACCAAAACTTAGAGCATGCGTCGCACCGACTTAGAGAGTCCGTCGTAGGAGGCTACGTATAAAAGAGAGAAAGAGAGAGAGAGGAGAGAGTGTAGCGAACGTTGTGATGAGTGCACGCAAACTGAGTGTCGTATGGAGTGCCTCTACTCGACCTTATTTGAGGGAGCTTTGTATTATGCGGACAGTAGGCAGGTTCCGTGTGATTAGCGAGCTGACGCAAGGTAGATTGGTAGATTGGTGATCTTGATGTGGTTACGCGTAGTCTGATTAGGCACACCGCCACGGTAAAGATAATTCGTAGCAAGTTCATCACGAATATATCGGCAAACTGAAACGCTTGGCCGCACGTTACGCTAAGAATCCCGGCAAGAACTCGCGTTTCTTGCAGAACTACACGCGATTATATGACGTGTGGGATGTTTAAATGTTGGAAGACCAATGTCCACTTGGTCGGTTTTCAGTTACAAAAGTCTGACATTTTTTTGGGTATTTTCTATAATTTTATATGGTGTTTAAGTATTCCGCTTTTATTGTCAACTATCGTATGCATCTGTGTGAGATGTTATCTGTTTGCTTATGATTCTCATTTCTCCTGACTGCGTTCTTTTCGTCAAAAGGGATTTTCAATCAAAAAATGCGTAAAACAGATGAAGTATGTTATGATCAAGAGCATCGGTTTATTATTTTGGCGATTGAGAAACAAAGTTAACAGTTAAATTCGGCGAATCCTTAGATCTCGAGATACCTGTGAATACTGAAACTTCTGCAATTGAAAAATCGACGAAATGGACATTTCACTGTCTTTCGTGGCACAGATACGTAGTACGTTGGCACGTCAATTTCCCACGTCGGTATAAACATCGCGATTTCAAGGGGAGGAATGAGCTTTAATGATTTCGTGCTCTAAAATCTACTTCACTCAGTTGAGAAAGAGAGAAAGGGACCGAGAGAAACACGGACGATTCAGTCTTACCAAGCAATCTGCGTTGTCTCACGTCTCAAACGTCTCAAACGAAGAGATGTACTCGCGCCAAAAATATGTCTCCAAATCAGACCGGTGACATACGCGACATCGTAAATACGGGACGGCGGAAACGAAGGTAAAAACCTTCTCGCGGTTGTGAATTAGCGAGCGATGACTATTTGTCGGACGAGAGTAGTAACCGCCTTACGAGAGCGCCGCTGGCACTCGTTTCGAGAGTCTTACGACATTGGGACGTTATTGCGCGAGTGCTTTATTATGAGCGTCGGTGCGTCAAAGTACGTCGCTCCGAGAATTTTCACGACTGCCGGTGTGAAAATTTATTGCGAGTGTCGTGGGCGCGTATCAAAGCGTGTCGCTGAGAAGAAATCACGCGATTCGAAGAGTCAACAAGAAAATGGACAACGATTTGATATTATATACATAGCGACATTAATTAACAATATTATATGATAATTATATACATTCAACAAAATGTAATTAGCAGAACTGCCTTATATATGGCTCCTTGAGGATTCTTCTAAAACTAAAAAGGAAATACTCTAAACGCTATATTCTTAATGTCAGGACAATTTCATCTTTTATCTACAAGCTATGTTTTCTTAATAGAAATTTCTTGTGATAAGAGACATTAATTAACAATATTATATGATAATTATATACATTCAACAAAATGTAATTAGCAGAACTGCCTTATATATGGCTCCTTGAGGATTCTTCTAAAACTAAAAAGGAAATACTCTAAACGCTATATTCTTAATGTCAGGACAATTTCATCTTTTATCTACAAGCTATGTTTTCTTAATAGAAATTTCTTGTGATAAGAGACATTAATTAACAATATTATATGATAATTATATACATTCAACAAAATGTAATTAGCAGAACTGCCTTATATATGGCTCCTTGAGGATTCTTCTAAAACTAAAAAGGAAATACTCTAAACGCTATATTCTTAATGTCAGGACAATTTCATCTTTTATCTACAAGCTATGTTTTCTTAATAGAAATTTCTTGTGATAAGAGAGCATTCTGCTTGAGGCACACACTTTCCTCTCCAAGAGATTCAAGAGTAGAGAAAAAAGTTAGAATAATATCCAGTAGATTTTCGATCAATTAAAAGATAGCTCACTTTATTCAAAAATATATTTCATGTTAAAAAATAGCTCAGAAGAGGAATACTCGTTCGGTAAAAGTTTTCGCTTGGAATATAGAATTACGAGAAATAGCATCTTGAAATGCTTTTATTGGATGTGAGAATATTCCCCTTTTAGTTTCAGAAGAATCTTCTTGAGGCTATAATATAAAAGG